AGGTTAAGGTGTTCGCCTCTCGTTCAATAGGTCCCGGGTTCGTATCAGGATGGCGACGTAAAATTTTCTTCTCTTTCACATCCTTTCCTGCTCTCTAACAATGTTTTGTTGTCTGCTGTCGACTCCACTATCTGCCCCCACCCCTCCACGCCCTTGCCCCCTCCTCTGGACTCCTGACTCTTTCTACAGTCTTTCTACTGCTTCTCCTTGACTCCTTCTTACTGCTGTCTTTCAGCCACATCTCTGATTTTATGTTTGGTAAGATCTACACCTAGTCTTCTCTGACAAGGGCGAAAAATCTCGGAGGTCCCGTGTGCAAGTTGCGCACGTTAAAGATCCCTTGGGGGTCCAAAATCGAAAAAAATATGCTTCGGCCGCCACCCGGGCAAGATTCAAAATGTCCTACCAAGTGAACATGTTTGATGTCCCGCGATCACGTGACCTTTTGCAGTTGCGAGGGACAAAAAACACTTACAAAAATACAAAAAACAAAAAATCCCGTGTTGCGAGAATTTAATCGAGTTCAAATGTATCTCGGTCTCTCTGTTGGGACGTTGTATATCCATCGATCAGACCGGGTTGGCCCTGAAAGAAAGGGTCGAAATCCGCCTCCTGGATGATCTAAATTGTGTGGGTGAGGCATAAAAACACCTACATTAATTATAGTGTTCTTTGTTGTTGTTGTTTTTTATTACCCGGCCTGAGTTGTATAACGGTTAGTGGATTTCGCTGCTTCACTTTTTCGTAAGGATAGAATATCATCGAATTCTATTGACTCCTGTGAAATGCCTCGGGGTTTTCACTCGTTAAAGAAACATTTTGCACTTCCATATTTTCGAAAGAACGAAATCGAACGTACCGCTTCCCCCCTTCATTTCATTGTAGCAACCAAGACCGCTTTCACAGAGCCCTAGATGAGGAGAGTTTGGTGGGTAGGCCTATCTTGCTGAAGCTATAAAAGAAAAGAAAAAATAGACGTTAGTTGTGATTTTGGAGCAGGGGATATTGACTGCATAATAAAGAAAGAAAATGAAACAAGAGAAATGATTTTGTTTGTTTCGTAGAAATAAGTACAAGTAGTTTTGTTTCCTATAAACATTAATAACCATCAAACAAGGAACACTATTCAAAATGAGGTATTGTGGTTAATGGCACAGAAGATCCCCCCACGCCCCCTTCCTTCCCACCCCTTGCTGATTTACATCAAATAACGTCGAAATATGTGCCAGTTTTCCTGTGTCGTCAAAAAGTGGGGTGGGGTCGGTGAGGCCGCTTATAATTGAGCAAGCCAGGTTTTTTTTAGCACCTGTCCTTTTTGGGCTAGTTTACAGAATATCCCATCCTTTTTGGGCTAGTTTAATGGGGAAAATGTATTTTGCCACGCAGTAATATGGCGAAAAAACGATTGTGGTTTCTATATATAGCGGTATCGAATGTGAACGCTACCTTTTTTTAATGTGTACATTGTGCTTGAGAAGAGATTAGATATAGTAACAAAGCCACCCACAGATAAAGATACAGTTTATGATCTTCTATATCTTTTTTATCGTGACTGACTATAGCAATGGACACGATTGTTTAATTGAATTAGAAATGGCTTCTTTGGAAGGGAGGG